GTGCCTGTCTCGTTTTTCTGAAAACCAGGGCCCCCTGCCTGACTCTGCCCTTGAGGGTCCTGCTGGTCTCCACTGACTCTTCTGCTATATCTTCGTTACTTTTCTCTTGTTGCTAAGACAAAATACAAAATTAATGACGGAAAGGTTTATGTAGCTCAGTTTATGGAGGTTGCAGTCTCTAATCAGCTGGCTGCAAGGCAGCGCGCATGGCACCGGGGCAACTAACAGTCCAAGGCGGCACAAGACAGCAAAAGCAGCAAGAGCGAAGTGGGGGAGCAAGCCCCTTTTCCTTCCTTTTACTGTATGCAGGCACGCCACCCACGCCCACACCACCTCCCTGCCCTCCTCTTCCACAAGCTCAGAATGTTTATAAAGTGAGGACCTGGCCCCCTGCTGAGTTACACTTCTAAACCTCTCAAGTCCACAACATGTATCACGCATTACAAGCCAAGACAGTAGTTCCGTGGGTCGAGTGCCCCTGTGGGCTGGGATTTCACTGTTAGGCCAGTGAGGTCTGTAGACCCCAGCGGCCCCTCGCCCACACCTCCCGTCTGTCCTAACAGGTTGTGACCTGTGCTGGTCCAAGCTCATTGCCCCGCCAGGGGGCCCCAGCAGCCAGAGGCCATCGAGCTGTTTGCGCTCCGGCACCGTTGCCTTCAGCTCCCTTTCCCTTCTGTCTCATGAGGTGCAAAAAACACCCCCTGCTGCCACCTTATCAGGCTTTGCCAACTGCCCTGGCCTTGGCTCTGTGGAGAGGTGAGGGTGGTGACCCCAGTGTCACGACGGGAGATAGCATGGCCTAGGAGCAGGGGGCAACTGTGCCCCAGCACCTGCAAGTCCCAGGAGGGGACCAGGGGCGCCACTCCCGTCCAAGGACAGAGGAGGAGAGAAGTCCTGCCCTTCCCTACCAAGCCCGGATGCCTCTCGGAGACTGAGACACAGATCCTGCCCCCCCACCTCCTCCACGGCTCCCGGCTGCCCTTACCTCACCCCCACTCGGTGCCCCTCCTCCTCAGGCTCTGCAGGATGACTCGGGAGCTCCTGTACCCCAGTCTCACCCTCTGCAAACCTCTCGGGACCCAGCTCTGATTCTCTGCTGTCTGCGTGAGCAGAGATGGCCTCGGGACCAGGCCTCTCCCAGCCCCACTGTGCCGGGCTCCTCCCCGGATTTCATAGCGTGTTCTCCACTAACCCAGGAAGTCACTGTCCTCCTGATGGCACCATGCAAGCCGACAAGCATGTCCTGTACAGTCCTGAGCCAGGGTGCAGGAAATAAGAGGGGCTTTGCAGAGCATCAGAAGTGGGGGCGTTGGGCACCCTGGAAAGCCCCATAGGAGGTGGTGCTTCCTCTGGGCTGGGCCTCGTGGCTGCAGAGGGTCACGGGAGGTGGGTGGGGGCTCACGTGAAAGCCGGCTGGATTGGGGTTTTGCTGGAGGAGCCAGGCAGAAAGGAGGGCGGTGCCCTAGGAGACTGGCCCAGCCGGTCCCAGAGCCTGCAGCCCGGGGGACAGCTCAGACATCCCTGGCTGCACCGGGCGCCCGGGCGTGGGCTTTGCGCCGGGGATGGCACGGGTGGGCAGGAGAGGACACAGGAGCTGGCAGCTGTGGTGGCTGTGCAGGGTGAGCTGGCCCTGCTTCTGGCCAGCACACTGGCAGGTGGGAGAGTGGATGGGATCTATGCCCCTTCCGGAGCCGCGTGAGTGACTTACTGATGGGTGAAACCTGGGCAGCGGGCAGTGGGCAGCGGTGACTGCTACGTGTCAGACCCCTGAACCCCAATCTGAAGAGCCCTGGTGTGTGGCGGCTGCTGTTCCCTACAGTGCAAAGACTCCCAGCCAGAGGTCACAAGCTGCAAACCTGAGTGAGGACCTGGGGAGAGCTGCATGTGCTTGCGTGGTCATCACTGGTGTCTCCAGCCACCACTGGAGATGGACGGTGAGAGGGCGGAGCAGAGTGGGAGGGGAGAGACAGCGTGAGGCGCGGGACCAGCATGGGTCTTGGGCACTCGGGATGCCCGTGCACGGAGGCCCAGGGTGGGATCACGAGGCGTGGCTGGCGTGGAAGTGTGGGCACTGCTGGCAAAAAGGCTATATGCAAAGTGGGACTGGAGACACCCAGAGAGCACAGGCAGGAAGAGAAAAGGGGCGGCCTGGGGCCCAGGGAAGCAGCCCATCCAGTGGCCCTTGACTGGCTGGTGTCCTGCCAGCCTGTGAGGAGGGAGTCTTCCTCCTGGCTGGAGTCTGAACACGTCTTCAAGGGGACGGAAACTCCTGCTTTGGGTTGCGATTCGGGAGCTCTTTGGGCCTCTGACCACACTCATGGAGCAGTGGTCAGGGTTTAGACAGGAAAAGATTCAATACAGGACACATAATTCATAGGATGATTTTTATAATATTCACCCAGACAGTCAAGTGCACAGCAGCGTGGGAGATCTGTCCATGCACTAGAATCCGAAGACTCCAGCTGAGGGCCTGGGTCCCGCGGCAGCGTCCTCCATGAGTCCAGCTGGAGGCCTAGACCCAGGACAATGTCTCATGCAAGTCTGTTATCAGGATCTGCGCTGGGAAGGCCCGAAGGCCAGCGGTGGAAGCTACAAAGTCTGCGCCAGCGGGATGAAGGATCTGTGCCAGCAGGCTGAGGGATCTGCACCGGAGCCAGGAAGCGGTCCTCAAGGTACGGACTGTAGCTCCCAGGAAGAGAACTGCAGCCATCCTCAGTGACAGCGAGGCCCCGAGCTCCTCCGATGAGAACAGCTGAGTTCAAATCAGGAAAACCAGCGAGACAAGCTTCTCCAGAAGAATCAACAGCACCATCTTCCCCTCCAGTTCTCCTTTTATGCTGTTGGCAACATTCCTCAGGTGGGCCTTCTGCACCCAAAACCACGCTGACTCAGCTCAAGTGGGCATTCCAAGGTGACCAAGGAGCTCATCCACCACGCACGGGGATCTTCCAAAGCAGCAGAGAAGGGCGCCACTGCTGGGGGACAGGGCAGCCTGGGAAGAGGGGCACTGAATGGCCATGGCTGGCGAAGCAGAGAATGACCAGAACAGGCTATGATGAAAGAAAGGCTGTGGCCATCATACCCTAACCAAACCCAGGCCGGCGGGGGCAGCACTCGGCCTGTGGGTAATCTTCACATCAGCCCTGGAGGAGGGCACTGTCAGCTGGGCAAGTTGGGACAGCGGGGCCCAGCCATGCCGCTTGATGGCGGTGCGTGGCTGCAGCCTGGATCACCTGCCCAGCCTCACCCAGTTCCTCCCCAAACACAAGGTGGGACCTTCTCCTCTGTATCGCCCTGAGTAGAGGGACCACAGTGAGCCTTGGGTTGCTTCTGGTCACTGTCACCGTCATCTCCGTCACTGTCGCCGTCTTCGCCGTCACCCTGACCACCGTGCTCAGTGCCGACCCCACCGTCGCCATCGCCTTCAGCACCATCACCGCCCTTCCCACCAGCATCCCCGCGAATGAGACGGGCCTTTGCGGAGCTGTATTCCCAAGCTTTCCGCAGTGACAAAGTAGGACTCACCCCTTTAACGGGGGCAATTTGAGCTGCAGCCGGGCACTGTGCTGAGCACAGGGCAGGGGCCAGGGGCCTGTCTGCATAGGTGCCCTGCCTCGTAACAGGGCCATGCCTGGCAGGACCCAATAGGCCTGGGCTCCAGGGCCGACTTCCCTCCTGCCTTTGACCTTGGTTGCTGCTGCCTCCTGTGGGGCCGGGGTGCTGCCAGTCAGCACAGTCAGGTCTGGGCAGGCCTAGAGCTGGGCACGTTGGTGTCCGATGGAGGACAGGGAGCGGCCTCGCTATCCGGGCTGGAGACAGCAGTTTTGGGGACTGTGCTGCACTGGAGGTGCCCAAGCCATCCTCGTCTGCAGCAATGTCTGTGCTCAGGGCCACGATGCCCGATGGAGGGTCTGAGGCACGGGAGAAAACTCTACCAGGCTGGGCCCGGCTCTGCCCACTCAGAGCCAGCTCTCGCCTCACAAGCCTGGGCAAGGATGGGCTGCTGCCGTCGCAGATTCTGGGCCTGACTCCAGGCCACTCAGCTCCAGACTTCCTCCTCCTGCCAATCCGCCCTCTGCTCTCCACTCATCTGGTCGGGCAGATCGTGCCTCCCCAGCTGGCCGTGGGGTCAGATCTGCTCTGGCCCTGGTCTAGACTATTCTTACATATGGCAGGCCTGCAGGCTGGGTGAGAGGGAGCACTGTCTCACAAGCCACCCCAGCAGCCAACATCTCTGTGGGTTGAGAAGTCATGTGGCTGGAGCCAGGGATGCGGCACAACCTCAGGAGAGAATGCACACCTGGGGCTCCTTGCTCAACAGTTACAAAGATTTCAAAATGGTAACAGCAGAGCTTCACCCAGTGTGGCCTATTCTGAGGGTCATGTGCCCATGAAGTGGACCCTGGCTACAGGGCTGGGGCTGTAGCCAGCCAGTCATCCATCCATCCATCCAGTCATCCATCCATCCATCCATCCATCCAGTCATCCATCCATCCAGTCATCCATCCATCCATC